GGTAACAATGAGTCGGGTACTTATACGACTGCATGTCAATTGGCATCATTACAGACTCCCCGCCAGCCTTGAATGCGGCTGCCAAGGTAGCTAAAGTGTCAGCCATTTGATTTTCTTCTCTAGGAACGTAGTGGAATGTGACTTCATCAAACTCTTTGATCATATCCAATATTAGCTTCTGGTATTCCATCAGCTTTGTATCCTTGGTTTCCCATTCTCCACGGAGCTGGTAGATTACTAATGTCGAATCTCCGTATATCTGCAAGGTCTTTATCTTTTGCCCCAGTACAGCTCGAATTCCCAAGACACATGTTTCATACTCTACCATGTTATTGGTGCAATCGAAGTTCAATCTGCTGGTAAATGGGTAGTGATTCCCTTCCGGAGAGATCAAGATTGTCCCGATGCCATGTCCTAATGCATTTGATGCACCATCGAAATGCATTCTCCAAGAACTGTCTGTTGGAGTACCTGCTTCTTCTAAGGATATAGCCATCAAGTCTTCGTATGGGAAATCAAAGTCCAATGGCTGGTAATTCTCATCGGTTCTACTTGCCAATAACTCAATATGACACTTCCTTTTATTGTTTTCTGGCTCACATACTCGATGTCAAATTTAGACAAGAGCATTTGCCATCGGGCTAACATTCCAGATAGAGTAGGTACACCTATCATGTACTTTAAAGGATCTAACTTGAAAATCAGCCAAGTAGTGTGATACAACATGTATTACCTGAGTCTCTTTGTAGCCCAGACTAGAGCACAACAAACTTTTTCGATAGGAGGATATCTGAACTCGTAATCGGTGAACTTCTTGCTCAAGTAGTAGTTGGCTCTTTCCTTCCTTCCGGGCTCATCATGTTGACCCATTACACACCCCATTGAGTTCTTGAATATGGAGAGATACAAGAACAAATGTTTGCTCGGGATAGGGGACATCAGGACAGGAGTGTGAGACTAATACTCATTTACTTTCTAGAATGCAATTTGGCAGCTTTCATCCCAAGCTCCAGAGTTGTTCTTTCAGAGAAGACGGAAGATTGGATCACACTTGTCGGTTAACTGAGATATGAACCGTGCTATGTAATTTAATCTACCCAGAAAACCTCGAACCTCCTTCTGTATTCATGGGGAAGGCAGATTTTGGATAGCCTTAACTTTATCGGGATCAACCTCAATGCCTTTCCTACTGACTACGAAGCCTAATAGCTTCTCGGATGTTATCGCAAAGGTGCACTTGCTAGGGTTCAGTCACAGTTGAAACTTTCTCAATCTCTGGAAGAGCTTTCTCAGGTTCTCAACATGTTCATTCTTGGTTTGTACTTGACAATCATGTCGTCGATATAAACCTCGATTTTTTTGTGCATCATGTCGTGGAACAATGTCACCATGGCTCTCTGATATGTTGCCCCAACATTTTTCAATCCGAAGGGCATTACTTTATAACAGAAAGTTCCCCATATTGTGACAAACGTGGTCTTTTCCATTTCTTCAGGATGCATCTTGATGTAGTTGTAACATGAGAATACATCCATGAATGAAAAGAAAGCTTTCCCAACTGTGTTTTCCACTAAAGTGTCAATGTGAGGTAGAGGGAATTTGTCTTTAGGGCTCGCCTTGTTAAGGTCCCGGTAATCGACACACATGCGTACTTTCTCATCTTTCTTCAAAACATGAACTATGTTGGCCACCCACTCCGGATACTTGGCTACCTGGAGGAAACCAACATCGAATTGCTTCTTGACTTCCTCTTTGATTTTAAGGAGCATCTAAGGTCGCATCCTTCTCAGCTTTTGATGTACTGGTTTGCATTCTGGCTTGATTGGTAGTTTATAGACCACCATATCCGTGTCTAGCTCCGGCATGTCTTGATACGACCAGGTGAACACATCTCTGTATTCTTGAAGTAAGACTATCAAGTTCTGTCTTGCTTCAGCTGAAAGAGTTGTGCCGATTTTAACCTCTTTTCTATCATCTTCAGTGCCCAGATTCTAGACTTCGATCGTCTCCTCATGTGGAAGTATTTGTTTATCTTATATTTATACCATTCTCAATAATTTGGTAGGCAAGTTGCACTCCTCTTCATTATCGCATTCATCAAATTCCCCGAGACAAATGACCGATTCAAAATCCACTTCTGGATCAGGATCATCAGTGCCTGCATTATCGTTATCTGGGGTCCTGAAGGAACAAAGAAGATATGTATGCGTGAGAGGAAATATCCCACACGAAACAGTCAAAGAATTAAATTCGAAAGAGAATCAGATGCGTACTGAAATGAAGGAAATAGAAAATGAATTCAAGAAAAATAAAACAAAATAATTATTTGTCATGAAGAAAATTTGCATATTTTATTGAATTAAAATCAAAATGTTTATTCACCCTTACAAAAGATCACCTATTGCCCTGGGTATAGGAAAATAGGGATAATTCGAATATTACTCTAAAAGACTCTTGTAAACCACATGTAGTTCTTCCATCGACCAGCTACTAGGCACGAACCCAAGTGGCAGAGGGCAAATTCTGGATCTATCTACATTGTCAACGTCTTCTGTGGTCACGACATTGATGTTCAGATCTTCCAGAGCCGCTTCTAAATCTGACAAGGTGGTCTCAAACATGACTTGAACGTATGGTAAAGATGTGGGAATATCATGGGTTCCCGTTGAAAGTCACTTCCAGTTACCTGGCTATTCTTCTTTTCCAATTATTCTGGATTTTCTTCCTCTTTTCATGGTAACTGAGCTGAGAACCAAGCCCAAATTGATCTAATTTTGAGACAGGAAGGATGAGATTAATCATTCTTTGCAAATGTTTCCCAAAACCTCTTCCGGTCATGGCGCCTCTTCCCAAAGTCTGCATGATTTCCATTCTGGCACACTTGGAAAGTCGAGGTTTAGGGATTCTTCTTCCTTCTACCATGAATGTGGCATTCACAAACTCTAAGGAGCGGAATGAGCACTCCACCGCTTCTTTATCTAGTTCGATGTATGGGGTCTCCGTGGTCACACTCCCTATGATATCTTCCTCAGTATTGATGATTACTAAGGCCCCATCAATAACAAATTTAACTTTTTGATGCAGTGTGGACGGTACTGCACCTACTTGATGAATCTATGACATCCCCAAAAGACAGTTATAAGAAGGCATGATATTCAACACTAGGAACTCGACATCATAGGTGGTAGGTCCGATGGTCAACGACACCTCGATCTTACCAATAACCTCTCTCTTGGTCCCATCAAATGCTCGAACCATATTCTGGAAGGCTCTCATGTGTGAGGTATCTATTGGTAGCATTTTCAATGTGATTAAAGGAATTACGTTCAATGCTGAGTCATTGTCGATTAAAACACTTAGTAAAGCGTGCCCTTTATAGTAGGTAGTAATGTGTAACGCCTTTGTTCGACCTCTCCCTCCGGATGAAATCTCATCATCTGAAAATGAGATGAGATTATCAGCTTGAATATTGTTCACCAGTCGATCCATCTTGCTGACTGGTATGTGTTGTGGCACGAACGTTTGATTAAGGACTTTCAACAGTGCCTCCTGATGTGCCTCTGAGTTTAACAATAACGTTAATATTGAGGTGCGTGTTGGCAAGTTGTGGAGCTGTTCTACAATACTTTACTCATTATGCTTCAGGAATATGTGGAATTCTTTAGCTTCTTCCTCCTTTATAGGTTCGTTTATATCCAGCACATCTTCTTTGAAAGGTTCAAGTGGTCTCTGCCCCATATTGTTATCACACCCTTTGGAAGTACTCACCTGGCATTCGTACTTCCATAGCACTTGTCGATTGTCCTTGTATTGACAAGGCCAAGGTGCTATAATCACCACCTTGGCTAGTGTTGTTTTTGTCATCTTTGCTTTAGGGGTAATTATCAAAGGACTACCCCTACCAAATCCTCTTTCCGATGATTCTTCAGTAGCGCAAACGTCTGCTTCTGGGGAATCATGAATTTCTTCATAAAATTCCAGCTCTTTCTTGTCTATCATGAGCTGGACTAATGACTTGAATTCTGGGCAATCTTGCACCTTATGCCCCTCTTCGTTGTGGTAACATCAATGGTTACCATCTTCAATCCTTGCTGCACGTGAATGGGGTACAAGAAGCCTCGCCTTTACCATTTAACTCCATACCCAAGCAAAAGGAGCTTTAACTTCCGAAACACTGGTTTTGATTCTCTTGCCGTTCTCGGTGGTGACTACGTTGATTCATGTTTCCTGATGATTGAGCAAGGGATCCTGGGCGACATTCGGTGTTCCCGAGTTGAAATGGATCCAATTCTTGTTACTCATTCGTTGTATAAGCCTCTTAAATGCGAGATAATTTTCGATTGAATGCCCTTGCACACCGTCATGATATTCACAGTGAGCGTTCTCGTCAAACCATCTCGGGTAAGGGGGCTTTATTGGATCCATAGGGTAAGGCGACACCACGTGAGTGTCGAAGAGCTATTGATATAACTCTTTATATGACATGGGAATGAGATCGAACTGCTCTCTTTCTTTACTTGGTTCTCTCTGAGCTTAGTTAAAAGTACCGGATGGTACAGCTGCAGTTATTTTTGAACTTGAGATCATAACGCCTTTGTTGGCGTTGTAGGTGTTGACATTGTTAATCTATTGCTCTTTGTTTTTCATGGGAGGCTTTTTACTAGAGTCACCTCCCTCAATTTTTCCTTGTTTAACTCAATCATTTCACCAGCCATGACTAGATCTGAGAAAGTTCCTGATGTAATAGCCACCAGGTGCCCAAAGTAAGGTGCCTTCAGGGTCTGTACAAACAGCTTTCTAGTTTCATTTTCATCCAAGGGTGGATGAACTTGCACAGACAAATCCCTCCATCTTTATGCGTACTGTCAGAAATTCTCATTATGCTTCTTCTCCAAGCTCTGTAGCATAACTCGGTCTGGTCTTATATCATTAATATGCTTGTACTTCTCTAAGAAAGACTTGGCTAAGTCTTTCCACGTCTTGATATGAGTTCGGCTGAGCTAGTTGTACCACCGGATAGATGAACCAGACAGGCTCTCCTGGAAGCAGTGGATCAGGAGTTGGTCATTTCCCCTATATTCGGTCATCTTCTGACAAAACATAGTGATTTGGGCTGAAGGGCAGCTGTTCTCGTCGAACTTCTCCAACTCCGGGACTTTGAATTTTGGTGGAAGCACCAAATTGGGAACCAAGCTCAGCTCCATTGCATCCACCCCATAATAGTCGTTGTCCCCTTTGACCATCTTTATCTGGTCTTCCAGTATTTTGATATTCTCTTCCATCTTCTTTGCCTTATCCTCCTCGTTAAAATCCAGGATAAGGCAGTCGTCCGGATGACTGTCAGGGTTAGTTGCAGAAGTTTGTATATTTGCAGCCGATACAACTTTCCCTTTTGTGGCAGATGAGTCACCTTGTAGTCCGGGTAAGATCCCGGATGAGACAATTACTTGTGGGGTCAGTGGTATAGCTACCCTCTCGGATGAACCTACCCAAGGTGCACTGGCCTGCTGTAAACTCGACAACTTAGCAACGATTTGGTTAACTAAAGATTTCTGGCTTTTCATGATAGAATCCAGGGTACTCTGACTATTTTGGGTTATCTTATCTTCGAGTTCTTTCTGCAATTTCGCCATGTTCTCTTCAATTTTCTCGATTCTAGCTTCCATTTGTCTTTTTTTTGTTCGAGTGTTGTGATGGTGATGTGTGTCTTGAGCTTGTAGAGGTAAGTTGGTGTTTACTCTTTCTGAGACATGTTATGTTAGTTAATACGAATGTAAAAACATGGAAAAATATAAAAATAAACATGAAATATAAAATGCAAAGTATGCAATGCATGATGTATGTAATTTAGTGGCATTGATCCAGAAAAGTGTCAATTATTATAAATAATTCTTATTTAGACAAAAATGTTTTATCTTTTAAGAGACATAAAAACAATCAAAGGTACATCCATACTAAATCCTCTAGACCCTAAACATCTTCTAGTAGGTTGACAAGTCTTCTTCCTTCATCTGTCACTGGTTGAATGCCTTGTTGAACCACTCTAGCTTCCCTTGACAGGCCGTGTAGATGACGGACTGCCTTATGTACTTGATCCAGGAAATCATGGATGACTGCGTCTCTGGCCTTTACCCTTTGCTGTGCTTGTTCCCAATGGAAACGCCACTGTAAACCTCCGTCAAATGGTACTATCTGAAGTTTGTTCGCTTGCTTCTTGAACCCATCTACAATGGCTTCTAACTCAGCTATTGTCTTGCCATCTCTCTCATGTTGCTTATCTAGATCAACCACCCGGATTCTCAAGCGTTGGTTCTGATGTTGACTATCTGCTAAGCGCCTCTGAGTCGTCTTCAGTTGTTCCTTCCAAGCTCTTTCATCAGGCCCCACGAACTTCCTTTTCAGGTTGTGAGCTTCGTCTTTCCAATATTCAGAGGTTACTTTCAACTTGGAGTTATCCTTGCCTTTATCTTGATACCCCTTTATAAAGTCTTCGAGCTCGAAACGGATTTTCTTTTGTTCATTCTCTAGTTTGTCTGCTCGATCTTTCTGAGTGTCGGCATCTAGCTTCCACTGATAGCGTTCATCTTCAAGTTCCCTTGCCCTCTGCTTCAGCTCATTATTCGTAGCTTCAAATTCTGCCTTTGCTATCTCAAGTTCGGAAGGGACATGCCTGAGATGTTCCTCCATGGTCTGAGTGTCCTCACAATCTGGCACCGGGATGTTGTCGTTTTTCCTTAATCTTCGCCACTCCAAATAATCTGGAGTAAGCATGTTTTTGGCATCCACGACATCCATCCAGAACACTCTCTTCCATGACTCGGCTACCTCTTTGATCATCTTCTTATATTTATCACCATGGTACACAAACTCTGATACAGATAATCTGTATATGGACAGGATAAACTGGTGTGCCCCATACTGTCGAAGTGCCAACAGCGGAGATTATCCAACTTTGCCCCATAGTCCAATTAGGGTCATAGTGCCAGAATCCCCACACCAGAAAAGAATGTCACTGTAGAACAACTAGTGGGCTCTCCAGACAATATCCCGGTCTTGAAGATGAGTGAAGACTTTCATCCACTTTTCCTTTGATGTGTCTTCATGTCATTTCATAGTGATGAACTCTCCCAAAGGTGAATATGTGGTGCTGAAATAGCAGTAGGTAACCTCGTTAGTCTTCCAGAAATGGTTTTGAATCCAGACTTGAAGGAGCTGAACACACCCAATGAACCTTCCGTCGCCAGTTCTTCTGTAATGATTGAGAGACCGAAAGGTCTCAGCTAAGATAGATGGTACTGGGTTGACTCACCTCGGGAATTGTTCAAATAGTTCCACCACGGCTGCCTCGATGCACCCCAAAGTCTTCGAAAAGATAATCAAATAATACAAACCCAGTGCAAAAAGGACTATAGTCTTCCATTCATCAGGATGGTTCTTCATTAGTTGCTTTATGTGGATCCACTCAATTCCTTCCCCGCTACCTTTGTGTCGGAGTCGGTCAGTCACCCATTTTTCATCAACCCCTGTAATCTTGGCCAGTCCATTATTAAAAGGTTGACTCTTGATGTGTTTGATATATGCCCTCTCTAGTCTGATGCTTTCGCAGTATAGTAGTGTAGTATACTCTTCGATAGTGGGCACCATGTCCTCCCGGTTAAAGGTGAAGCAACTATATTCCGAGTTCCAGAATTGAATCAAAGATCGGATTAATAGCCTCTTTTATGATGCAAATGCTAAAAAAAACAAACACGAAAGCAAAAGGTTAGTAAAAATAAGGAAAAAAATAATGAATGTAAAGAAAAAATAAATGAAAGGAAAAAAAAAACAACATAGTTAGGGTAAAAACATCCTAAGGTTTGAAATGTGGTTTTGGGGTAGGCTCTAATTCTCCATAGTATCACAGTTTAGGTTCTAAAAAATGGTACCCAAGTTCTCCTTACTGGTGCCCCCTTGGGCTTGCCAGACCCTTAATCCTGAACCCATTACAGGCTCCTGTGAACTAAGTTAAACTTGAGAGGAAACATTCCCTTATACCCGCACGGTGAATAAATTCACACGAAGGCGTCACTTTCACCCTCACTTAAATAAGGTTCAGAGCTCGTGTATAGAGCCTTAGATGGAAAATAAGTTTGGGCTGAAATCATTAGAAAACGGTTAGTACAACTATTTACTCGAAAATATAATCAAAAGTAAGCAATAAGGATCGAAATGTTACCGTAAAATTTAAACTTACCCTTTTCGTTAAAAAGACAATTGTAAATTACCTTAGCCTTACTCACTTACCTTTGTCCCCAGTGGAGTCGCCAAGCTGTCAGAACCGCCTTTCGGGTGGGCCCAAAATTGGGCTTCGACTTAGGAAAATAGATTAGGAGTCGCCACCGATCTTTTATTTTAAAGCAAATAGGTATATCGAATACCTTATTTCTTACCTAGTCTGCGTCTTACCAAAGATGTGTCGGGTTCGGGAGTCGGTTACGGTCAAGGAAGGATTAGCACCCTTGAACCGCCCTTTCGGTACTACGTAATTTCCAGTTGTCTTAATTAGGAAAGTTGTAAATTTAAATTAAAAGGTAAAATTACGATCCAAATTACTTACCTCCGATTTATTGAAACACCCTTAAAAGATATAAAATGTTAAATAAAAATGAGAATTAACAAAAAAAAAGAAAAATAAATCAAAGAAAATAAAACAACAAATGAAATAACACAAAGAAAATAAAAAGAAGAAAAAGTGAATAAAAAATAAAATAAAATAAAATAAAGAAGATGGAAAAAGAAAATAAAAAGATAAGAATAAGATATATAATAAAATGAAAATGAATAAAACGAAAAAAAGCAATAATAATATATATACATAACAAACAACTAATCAACATAAGAGGAAAATACACATAAATAAATAGATGGAACAAATATAAGGGAGATAATAAAAATAAAAAATAAAATATAAAAAAATAAATAGATAGAATATAGAAATAAGTAATATAATATAATATAAACCAATAGAAAACGGAAAAAATAAGGAACATAAGAAATATAATTATATATATATATATATATATATATAATAAAAATAATAGAAAATAAATAGAAAACTAATAATAAAAAATAGTGATATAATATAAATAAATAGAAAACAAAAAAATAAAAAACATAAGAAATATAATTAAATATATATATATAATAAAAATAATAAATAATAAATAATAATAATAAATAGCAATATAATATAAATAAATAGAAAACAAAAAAATAAGGAAAATGAGAAATATAACTAAATATATATAATAAAAATAATGATTATAAAAAAGGAAATAAATAAAATAAAATTAATAAATAAAATAAAATACAAAACATATATATAAAAGTAATAATAAAAGGATTAGTTTGAAAAAGATAAAATTTAGGGGGCCAATTTGAAAGGAAATTCGAGCTCAGAATCAAATTTGGGGCTAAAATGGAAGTTTGTAAACAGAAGGGACCAAAAGCGTGGTTTACCCTATTTTAAAATAAAACACGCAAGTCTGGAGGGAAAACGGGTCGGGTCGCAGGTCGATTTAATGGGTTGTATAAAACCCAAATAATTTCTTTTAACTCTCATTTTCCTCCATTTAATATGCTTCAAGCCGAGACCCCCTGTTCTTATTTTCCTCTCAATTGTTCATCACAAGGATGAACTGCCGCCGCTTACTTCAAGTTTCAGGCCACACATATATTTTTTAAAATCCCGAAAGCTTTTTTAATCCTTTTTTCCAAAAATCAAAATGATTTTCATAAAAAATGTGCCTTTGGGGCTAGATCTACGAAAGAAGATCCCAACCAACCCCTCCGTTCATCGGCAAACCAGTGTTTTTAAACAAAAGCGAAATGGCACATGCAAGTCAAAGAACAAACCGAAAGCAAGGTAAGATGTTTACCTATTATTTCACTGCAAATCGTGTTACAAAAGACTCCAAACTTGTATCGTATTTCTCTCGATATTTCCTCGTGTAATATTGTGATATTTGTGTACAACCGTATGTGTTCATTGTGTTGATTACATGGGTATTTATATGCTATTTTGTTCCGAATTTTCAGTGTTGTATTTGGACTAAAACACTTGTTATTTGCTATTTTTGGTGTCCTATAACAACATGTTGCTGCGCCCGAGAGAAAGAGAGCCGTGGGTTGTTGTTGGGGCGAAGGAATCAACAGGAGACTCGGCAGTGGAGGAGTCTTCGGGGTTTGATGTTGCGCCGCTTGGAATGCTAGGGTTCTGGAAACCCTAACTAACTGGTCTGCGTGTGTGTTTGGGGTCTAGGTTAGACCAGGGCATTCGTTTGGGCCTCGCATGATTTGGTTTTGGGCCTGCCAAAATGTAACAAATATGTAAATATGTGAATGATATATGTAATAAATTTTATAATGTAATATAAATTATAATGTAAATATATTATATAATATTAAAGGGAAAATTTTGGTGTCTTCAAAAAATAAGATAGAATGTGTTATGAAAACATAAATCAAAATATGTTATAAATGATAAGGAACTACGACTCATTTGATTAGTCAATATATGTTAAGTGTTACTTTTTTTATGATACTTTTAGTTTGGATACAATTGACATGTCATATAGTCCATTTGAGTTTATGTTAGAGTTTGAATTATGATCCTTATTTGATGATG